CCCTATGGTCGGCTATAAAAGCTTGTTATTGATTGTCCTCAGTTATTACCATTCAGTATTGATTAAATTTGAAGGAAACAAGTATAATATCTATAATAACCATTTGATTCAACATTGAATTTGTGTCACGGAACACATACTACATGAAACACGTCTTCTTTAAAATATTACACTTGTACCAAATTGAACTGATCTTTATTTAAATCGATCTTAAAAAGACCAGTTCGCGTTTACATTTGCACAAGCAAGATCGATCGAGATCGATCTTATTTAATCTAGTGCGTTTACACTGCAGCATAAACAGAACCGGTCTGACCTGATTACTTTTCATTTCGTAAATGAATAATCGTAAAAATAGAATTGAATAATAACGAGTGCATTTCGCGCGGACTATCAAACACTGCAAAATTATGGATCATTGGAATTTCGTATGAAGTTATCAATTATCTTTTTGGTTCACACGTTACAAGTCTGTAAACAAAGAAATGCGAGAAAACTATCACCTAAAACCAAACTGTCAATGCCTTTAAAGATGAGGATTTGCAGCAAAGAACTAGAATTTATCGATTCAGAAGATAGATTCAAAAAACGGCGGAATCCTTAAAATAACTAAAATGATTTGTATCTGAAATACAAGAAAGAGCGTTACTTTGGAGGTTAGTGTGGCGTCCATTTCGATGAACTAGTATTCATTATTATTGAGGGGCCAGCTAAAGCCCGCCTCCGGGTGCGAGATTTTTTAACTGTGTTGGAGACCCATTCGAAATGGTACTCTTCGGCTTTTTTCTGCTCTTTGGTCTGATAGATGTCTCTTTGTCCATCCCCGTTTCCATTCTCTTTATTGGTTTTGGTAAAGTATGCTATTCATCTTCATTGTTGTGGTACAAATGTACATGTGCATACTTGTAACAATCTACCTAAGTTGCAGCTATGACCTATAATTAGGTGATATGTTTTTAAAGAAATGTCATAATGTTGTGGTTAGACCTTCAAAGTATACACAAGAAGATACCATACTCTAAATATTGATAATGATGAAGACTCTTTGAAAAATTGTCCGGATGTCTAATATATTCAGGGAAATTTAGCTCTATTTTTTCAGAAGAAGATACCAACATAATATAATCTGAACATGGCCATATTAAATTAGATTAATTCATAACATATAATGAAACTGTTCATATTTTAAGTCCATATTTTGAATTGAATGTATGAAAGAGTGCCTGTACATATATATGTTACGTATATACAGGCCTGTGTTATTCTCATTTGCTGTACATACAAGACATGTACAGTAGCATGTCTTCATCCTTGAACCCCAAAGGTGACTGGTGGTATAGAAATATGGTTTTCCTCCGACCACAAGTAAAACCGTTGGCAAAGTGGAGCATCCGTTTGGTTGTTTGGGATGTGTGAATACGCAACCATGTCCGGTTAGAATAGGAACGAATTGAAGCCTCATGAAGAGAGAGTACCACGCTCCGGGCCTCCCTGCACGTTAAGAATTTTTGCAGCAACTCTTTTATGGGTCCGTGGGTAGCCTGATGCAAGGGAGAAAATTCATGCCTTATCCATTATACCCACATTTTCGGCTGGTGACTTGAAATTCCCCTCATTTTCCCCGGTCGATTTCTATAACCGAACCACGCTATTACATCTATTTATATTTTGTTCCCATCCTGAATGTGTTTGAAATATTTGCCACTGGACATGAAACAAACTCTCAATGAAATTTGTATCTTAGCTCATGAATGAAAGGAGATGTATAAAGTAACAAGACAGCAACGTAACCACAAAAAAAATTAGAAATAAAAATTAAAAACACAAATCCAGGCTCGTATCATATTTATTATGCACATAATTTGTTTTTCATATTTACTGCAAATACTGCAAATTATAACTCAAAAGAGTTAAAAAGAAAGACACGCAGCTTTGCTTCAAGTTATGATTTTGTATGCTTAATTTATTATTACTGTCTGAAATCTGGAAATCTTTAAAGTTGATGTACAGGCTTTCACATGGAACTAATTTTCTTTGATTTTATCATAATACAAAATAGTAGAAATAGGGGAGGGTGTCAGTTCTAACCCTCTGGACCTTAGACAAACCGACTTGTGCACCCAACAATGGTAGCCTTATTTAACACTTAGTACACTTCTAAAACAAGAAACTGCTATTTGTGTAAATCATATGATCAAATAATAAGTACATGGAAATTAAAAATTCAAAACATTTGAAAATTTCGTTTTTTTATTTTTGGTGATAACTAGTACAGTTTCCCGTATTTTCCTGTGCGAAATAAGATTTTCACGTGCAATGGTCATACGCTATAAAAATAGTTAGTTTTTGCATCCTTTCTGCTCATTTTGTGTATGATGTGTGCTGCGGTAGTTAAATTACTAAGTTTTTAAGTGTGATTTTATTGTAAATTGGAATGTTGGCAGACAAAGGTATATATTCATGAATATAAGGCAGATGCTTGGGGTCAAAGGTCAAACATAAAAATAAACTCTTGTCCTAGTATATTTCTACCACCTAATAATATATATTTCAAATAATAAATCCTTTTAGTGTATTATTTTCATTAAAAAAAATCCCACAGAGTCCCTACTATAGGTCAAAAATTTACATTTCTGTAGGATTTGCTCGTCATGAAATTAAATAAAATCTTTTTAACAAAGGCTCTTGGGGCATGGACCCCCTTGTTTTACTATTTCTGTTTTTTGTGTTCGTTAATTATTTTTTTTAGTAAATACTCTTTAATATTTTAACCTTTTTTCTCTAATTTGATATGTGCTTGCTTTTATCCATACGGTATTACAATAACAGTAGTTTATATAATTATGCTGCCCCTTTAATCGTATTATCCACAAGACAGGAATGTTCGAAAATATAAATAACGCACATCTGTTCGTCTGCGGTACATTTTATGCTACATATTTCTATTAAGTCATACACATTATGACATGTATAAACTCAAAAAAGACTTACCTTTTTGTTTTTGTTGATGGTTTGTATGAATAATCACTTTGCTCCCTGCGAATTCAAATTTTCAAGTGCTGGTTAAATACAAATGCACTCCACGAAATCATGATGGTCCAATAAGAATTCAAAGAATTCCTGTATTTTTTGTTTTTGTTTTTGTTTTTGGAGACTGAGTCTGTTGACAACCTTTCGAACTTACAACTCGTTTTCCAAGCGGTCCTATAGAACACGTATGAAAAGGAGTCATTTTCATAATAAGCAATCTTCAAATCAAAGTGACTGTTTTTCGAACGTGTACTACAGATTCGCTTTCAACGAAAAAAAGGTCTACATTTTCCTATATGAATCGAAATAATTCTTCCGTTTCATGCTCCATACTGGTTTTAACATGGATAGGCATTATATTTGTCAACATTCTTTGTTCATTTTCTTTTAATTTGTAGCATCTATTCTATAGTCTGAGGGAGTCCTCAAAACAAACAGACTATGTTCCTTATGATTCTGTTGACAGTTTTGACTTTTAACTCTTTACACTACACTTCCACACAATCTTATCAAACAAAAGTTTTCCTATTTAATTAAATGGTCGTTTGGTAAATCCGAATACAAATATATTTGCTGCAACTATTCTTCTCTAATGAGAAAGGTAAATATGCAAGATATACTTAATGGAGGTGTGATGAGATGATTGAAGCTGTTAATTTTCTCCTTGATAATATTTATGTACGTTTCTCCAATAAAGTTTATCGACAGATTGTAGGTATTCATATGGGCACAAATTGCGCACCTTTAATAGCAGACTTGTTCTTGTACTGTTATGAATCACAGTTTATGATCAAACTCACTAAAGACCCGTCTAAATTGCATTTAATTGATAAATTCAAAAATACTTACTGATATTTTTTCGTTAAATAATCAAGAATTTTCTTAATATACTGCCGAAATTTACCCAAAGGAACTAACTTTAAATAAATCAAATATAAACGGTAATGACTATCCTTTCCTAGATTAAGATATTTCAGTTTTACACAGGAAACTCTACACTAAAAGAGGGACGAAAGATACCAGAGGGACAGTCAAACTCATAGATCGAAAACAAACTGACAACGCCATGGCCAAAAATGAAAAGACAAACAGACAAATAATAGTATAGATGACACAACATAGAAAACTAAAGACTAAGCAACACGAACCCCACCAAAAGCTGGGGGTGATCTCAGGTGCCCCGGAAGGGTAAGCAATTCCTGCTCCACATGTGGCACCCGTCGTGTTGCTTATGTTATTAAAAATCCGGTAAATAGTCTAATTCGGTAGGTCACATTCGTGAAAAGGGAATGGTATTGTAGTTAGGACATAAGGAACATATCCGATATCATCTGTGAAACGGTTAAACTTTACGACAAAAGGGACGATATTTCCGTTACCACAAATTACTTAAAACCTTTACTAAATTCTCCCATAGATATAAAGATTTTGTTTTGAAGTTTGGTTGTACATGTAGAAAACTTATTTCAAACGGAATAGCACATCCTAATCTTTACGGAGATATTGTTTTCCGAGCCAGGAAATTTACAAACGATCCATGTAAACTTATCGATCCTTTAAATAAACTTATTCTAAAAGGTTACCAATTCAACACTGTAATTAGATCTTTGAATATTGTTTTATTGGTATTGATATTGATTTTGTTATCAGTACATTAATATCAAACTAAATATTATTTTTTTCATATATATGCACATTCACGGCTCTACAATCTGTCGATACCTGTATCTTGGCATTGCACAAGGTCATGTTTTTTTCTGACTGTTAATGACGTCTTTTCACTAAATCCATTGGATGTTGGGTGTGTACTGATTGATATTTTCGTCTTAGATGCATGATTTTTTTTTATTAGTTGTTATTGGCTTTAAACTAGCTGTCAGTAACTGTGAGTACTCTCAGATTTGTACTTAGTGTCTTTTTGTTTTGGGGATGTAAAAGTACCCTGCCACGTCCACTCTGTTTTTTGTAAGATGTATTTCTATTTGTATACATCTGGTGAGTTACGCCTCTTTCAACTGATTTGTTATAGTTTGATCTTATGATGTACTGTTACAGCACTGTCCCAGGTTAAGGGGGAGGGTTTGCGCCTTCAAACTGGTTTAACCCCGTCACATTCTGTATGTGCCTGTCCCAAGTCAGGAGCCTGTAATTCAGTGGTTACCGTTTGTTGCTGTATAACATATTTGTTTTTCGTTCATTATTTTGTACATAAAATAGGCCGTAAGTTTTATCGTTTGAATTGTTTCACGTTTGTCATTTCGGGGCCTTTTATAGCTGACTATGCAGTATGGGCTTTGTTCATTGTTGAAGACCGTACGGTGACCTATAGTTGTTAATTTCTGTGTCATTTGGTCTCTTGTGGAGAGTTGTCTCATTGGCAATCATACCACGTCTTCTTGTTTTTATAATCTAACACCAAATAAAAAATAGTTCCTCCTGTCTGCTCAGATTATGATAGTGTTCATCTGTATATTTTATAGATCCATCTGGAAGTATTTACGTTAGATGGGGAAGAAAAGACTGCCCAACAAATCCAACCGAAATGGTTTACTCTGGTAAGATTAAATACAAAAGAAAAGCACATGTCATTGGGTTGTTTGTATTATTGGGTGCTGTTTAATTGACGTATATCCAACATAGCCTTCTATTTATACAAAGTGGTGGGTTCATTATTGTATTTATACGCATTTCCTGTTGCTTTTATTCAGGCCGACTAGTGTTTCTCCTTTGCATAAAGTAATGTTTATACATGATTTACATGCAAACTAAACGTCTTCACGAGGCACGCTCTACAACAAAGATTCCATATGCATGAAGAGCAGCCAAACCAAAACATCTTCCTTCAAACAAATAATACGATAAGATGCTGTATATAATTAGGAGACGACAATTTGAATTTCTATGGAGGGGTGGACGTTTTTATGTTAAAGGAATATTCCTTTCCACCTGTTGCTAGAAACTTTAAAGGATTATTTATTTCGTGCTAAAAAAAAATTCATTCTTGTTCATAATGAACAACTTCTTCCTTCATTGTCCTGCATTTCGCTGAACAGAATATTCATTTGTCTTGGGCATGGCCATGTTTCCCGTTATTACCTGGCCAGAGTATTCTTTTTCATAATCCTGGCCTAAAACCCTCCAATTTCCCAGAATATAAAATGGTCATCCCCTTATATTTTGATAATATCAAATCAACGCTTAGTTACGTAAGCATGCAGTTAAATATACATCTCAATTGGTTAACTATGGTCACCTACCATCCACCAGTAGACCCATAGCAAAGGGTGCCTCCGTTTTGCGTGGTGTATGTAGTATCTGTTCTGAAGTTGAATTTTAAGTCCAATGCCTAGTGTAGAAAGTTTGAGTGTTGCACTCTCTGTACGCTATATAAAAAAACATTTTCAAAAAATTCTTTGTGGGGACCGTAGTTTGCCTGTTGCAAACTTTTAGATAAAATGTCTGACCCTATCTAAAATATCCTCCTTTTGAAGAGATAGTTCATCTTGCACGTGTTCTTACCAGTAGAGCACTTTGCAGAACATATTTATTGATTATTAATGGGTTCTCGATCTGAATTTTCTTGAAATATTTGCCACTGAAAGGAAAGCAAACAAATGTTAATCAATCAATATTAAATATTCTACAATGTAAACGTTAATTCGTTCATATGGAATGAAAGCAGATTCAACGATAAGGAGAAACAGATTTGGTCTACCACCTAATCTGTACTTCCTCTTATGATAAAATATTTTGAGTATCCAAATGTATTTCGATATTCATATGTATATGAGGTACACGATTAAACGACTATTAACAAAGTTCTTACATTCTAGGCATAGGACCTTTATGTCCATATACCTCTTTACCTTATGGAGGGCATTAATAAGCCTTGTTGTGGTTATACATGTAACTTATTTTACATATCAACGTACAAATATACAATTATTTGAACAACATAAAACATGTAAATACTGTATGACTGACTGAGTGAAGTTATTCCGTTTCTCATTTTATAGTATATATTTTGGTTTCATTTGTTTCTTTTCTGTTTATATTGACAACAAATTGAACAATTTGAAGCAATTATTTTAAAAATTTGATTCGAACGACTAAAACTTTGCAGGTATTGGTGCAGGCGGCCATTACTCTAATTCAGGACGAAACACGAATCCAATTTGTGTTCCGCATGACCCTAATCTTGGACCGGTAAGTCATGAATCATATTTCGGGACAGTATTCGGAATGGAGTACGAAACCAATGATTTTGGTAGTAACCTACAAGATAAAGATGTACCATGCGCAGTATGTCGTGTAAGCCATGCGTCTACAGTATTAATGATTCCCGGTAAATCACATTGTTACTCTGGCTGGAAAACCGAATATAGTGGAAATCTAATGTCTGGACATCATGGTCATGCTGGTGCGTCTCAGTATGTATGTGTTGATAGTAGTCCAGACGTATTGGAGGCTGGTTCACGCGATGATAATGGATACCTTTTGTATGGAGTCAAGGCGTACTGTGGATCGCTCAAATGTCCTCCCTATGTACAAGACACCCTGTTCAAATGTGTGGTTTGTTCGAAGTAGAAACATCCGTATTAAAAGATAATGTTTTTAATGAAAAAAAGAATAATTAAATTTACATTTCTGGTTTTGTGCTACTAAAATATAATTTTACATTATAGATGATTATATATTAATATTCAGTTGAGTTTTATTTTAACTTACCCGGCACAATGGGCCAGTGTGAGCTTTTGTCATCACTTATCGTCTGTTCTCCGTCATCGTCGTCTGTTAAGATTTTTAAAATTATCTCCTCTTAATCTTCTCGATCAAATTGAACAAAAGTTGGACATTATAACCTTTGGGCTATCTAGATTAGGAAAGAAAATCTATCTGATGATCATGTCGGTCAACCAATATGACTGCAAATAGAACAAAGGGGTCAAATACAAGTATTAACGATACTTTTGAAAACCGTTATATATAGATGGAGGAAATCTGACAGGTGATAAAAATTTAAAATGCCAAGACCTATTATATTGTCTAGTTTTACTGAAATAGTAAAACGACTCCTTATCGCCCGTGTATGATGATTTTAACCTTCTTTTTTTCGTTTTTGCCGCTTGTCTTGAAAATTATAATAGATAAAGAGAAACACGGCAGAATTTATCAGCAAGACAAAGATCTTTAAATACACTCCTTATGAAAGGTATTGTCCTTTTTAATATAATTTCTATGAATGTATAATGCGCAATTAATTATGTAATTTATGTAAGTCGTAATTGAATTTGAAGTGTTTAAGTCAGATTTTAGTATCAAGTAGTAAGTATGCGAATTTAATCATCTTTCTTTAGTTTTATTTGGATGTAAAAAAACGTTGCGCATCATTCAAAATATGTTTCGGTCAACACTTTTACATCCCAATAAAGATGGTTTAGAATTAAATCCGGCTAATGACGATTTCAGTGTGCATGATATTTGTTTCTAGAACAACCTGTTATGGATATGCCCGCGTACAAACATTTCGAAAGCCGAAATTTTGTATTCCATGAGTTGTAAATAATTTTTAACGTTAATCGATAAATACATTGTTTTTTCTAAAGCAGTGAGAAATGAAGACAATAATATTACATTCCAATGGACTATTATCATAGCTATGTAGTAAACAAATATGGCAGATTGGAGTGTGTTCGCTTCCTGTAATAGAGAGTTAAATATATATCGTATAAACTGTTGATGTGAAAGAGTGAAATTACTCTTTCCTTTGAAATTGTTTTAGTATTTGTTTGCGTATGGAAGTACTTTTCTTCGTGATAGCAATTTTCCTGGTTTTTGTAAGCATTATTTATTCGTTGGGTTTGATTGATTGATTGATTCTTGGATGTTTAACGTCAAGTAACAAATATTTTATGCATGTTCAGGACAAGAAAAATTTAACAATAAATACAAAAGGTAGGTCCTGTAAAAGGGGCCGTCTGAAATGTCGCGGGGTTTGAGGATTAACACATTCAAACTCAATTGAACATGTATGTTGCTTAGAGTAATAATTCCACGAAAGTTAAATTGTTTCATGCAAACAATATGTGTTTCCCTGTACATTTATTACGCTCGTTTTTATTTATATGAAATGGATGTGTATGTATGTCAAAATAAACGTGGACCAGGATGTGTAGGCATGTCAACATATACAGGAACAAGATGTGGAGGTATGTCAACATACACAGAAACAAGATGTGAAGCTATCGCAACATATACAGGAAGAGGATGTGAAGGTATGGCAACATACACAGGAACAAGATTTGAAGGTATGGCAACATACACAGGAACAAGAGTATGGCGACATACATAGGAACAAGATGTGAAGGTATGGCGACATACACAGGAACAGGACGTGAAGGTATGTCGACATACACAGGAACAAGTAATGAAAGTTTGGAAACATATACAGGAACAAGATTTTTATGTATGGAAACACACACAGGAACAGAATGTGAAGGTATGTCGACATACAAAGGATCAAGATGTGTAGGTTTGGCAACATACACAAGAACAGGATGTGAAGGTATGTCGACATACACAAGAACAAGGTGAAAAGGTAAGACAACATACACAAGAACAGGGTGTGAAGGTATGTCGACATACACAGGAAGAAGATGTGTAGGTATGGCAACATACACAAGAACAGGATGTGAAGGTATGTCGACATACAAAGAAACAAGATGTGAAGGTATGGCAACATACACAAGAACATGATGTAAAAGTTTGTCGACATACACAAGAACAAGATGTGAAGTATGGCAACACACACAAGAACAGGATGTGAAGGTATGTTGACATACAAAGAAACAAGATGTGAAGGTATGGCAACATACACAAGAACAGGATGTGAAGGTATGTCAATATACACAGGAACAAGATGTGAAGGTATGGCAACATACACAAGAACAAGATGTGAAGGTATGTCGACATACAAAGGACGAAGAAGTGTAGTTATGGCAACATACACAAGAACAGGATGTGAAGGTATGTCGACATAAACTGGAACAAGATGTGTAGGCATTGCAACATACACAGGAACAAGATATTTAGGTATGTCGACAAACACAGGAATAGGATGTGTAGGTATATCAACATACAAAGAAACAAGATGTGTAGGTATGTCAACATACACATGCAGGATCAAAACGTGTAGGTATATCAACATACAAAGAAACAAGATATGTAGGTATGTCAACATACACATGCAGGATCAAAACGTGTAGGTATATCAACATACAAAGGAACAAGATGTGCAGGTATGTCAACATACACAGGAACAAGATATGTAAGTATGTCAACATACATAGGAACACGATGTGTAGGTATATCAAAATACACATGAACCGAACAACATGTGAATATATGTCGACATATACAGGCAGAAGATGTGTAGGCATGACAACATACACAGAAACAAGATATGTAGGTATGTCAATATACAAAGGAACAAAATGTGTATGCATGACAACATACACAGGGAAGGGACGTGTATGCATTTCAAAATACAAGGGAACACAATGTGAAGGCATGTCAACATATACAGTAACAAGATGTGAAGGTATGGCAAAATACACAGGAACAAGATGTATAGTGTATCAATATCCACAGGAACAAGATGTGAATGTATGTCAATATACACAGGAACAAAAAATGAATGTATGTCAACATATATACACAGGAACAAGATGTGAATGTATGTCAACATACATAGGAACAAGATGTATAGGTATGTCGACATACACAGGAACAAGATATGTAAGTATGTCAACATACACAGGAACGATATGTGTAGGTAGATCAACATACACAGGAACAAGATATGTAGGTATGTCACCATACACAGGTACAAGATGTGTAGGCATACCAATATACACAGGAACAAAATGTGGAGGTCTGTCAATATACACAGAAACAAAACATTTTAAAATATTGTCATATTTTTATCATACATTTTTAACAAAGGTCTTAAATGAAATAACATTTACGGTACCAGTTTTACTGCACGATATGCGCATTTCGACAAATAATTTCTTTGAGTGATGCTCGAGACTCATTTCATATGAGTGTTGTTTGACTATAATAGTAATGGCTTTCATCGTTCAGATGTATTTTCGCGGACATTAAATTTGGATATCTAACGGTAAAATCGTCTTTTCTTGTTACTTATTAATTCTATTTATACATTTCAATGAAAAGTAAGCATCGTATTCTTCGTTCTTTGTTTTTTTCCTTTTGTTATATATGTTGAAAATTTGGAAGTTTCTGTTGGTTATTGTGGCAAAATGTCTGCTGGTTATGGACTTGTTGTATTTGATTTCTCAAATCCATTTCAACAAAGAATGGTTGGTAAAATTCTGTTTTTTTTTCCGGTTGAGTGAATGTTCGCGATGTGATTGGTTTGTTTCTGCTGAGGTCGATTTGGGGAATGTCGTTCTTGGTTGTATTGACCTTCCTCGTCATCAGCGTTTTTATACGTCTTTGAACAAAATTTCACACAGCCAACCTACATAATCCATGGTAAAACGAGCAAGATGATTACATTATTTAATTTAATTTAAAGCAGTAAGTGCATATTTGAAAGTTTATGTATTGCTCATTAATATAATGAAATACAAACATTCATTATAATTCCAGAATTCGCCATTGTTCTAATGCAGCACAGATTTAACTATGTTTGACTATTAGAGACTATTATTGACAGTAACCTTATCTGTCATCGAAACTATCGAGAATGGCAATGGAGACTAATAAATTTTTACTACGGCCATGATGGGTCTTTTCGTGCTAAAAAAACCCAAAACAAACAAGAAATTCAAACATTCATTTTTTTATCAATTAGATGCATGTACTATATATTGCATTTATCAATAACCGAAAATCTGGCAAAAATTCAAAAACAAGAGGAGCAAACATCCTTTAGTTAGCAAAGAAGCGTTGGAAACGCAAACAAACTCCGTGATATATGCAAGTACCTATCCAAAGTAAGGAATCTTAGTGCCTATCCAAAGTAAGGAATCTTAGTGCCTATCCAAAGTAAGAAATTTTAGTGCCTATCCAAAGTAAGGAATCTTAGTGCCTATCCAAAGTAAGGAATCTTAGTGCCTATCCAAAGTCAGGAATCTTAGTGCCTTCCAAAGCAAGGAATCTTAGTGCCTATCCAAAGTAAGGAATCTTAGTACCTATCCAAAGTAAGGAATCTTAGATGGAGTGTTTAAACTTAATTTGATGTCAATATAAGTAATGTGTTCCTCTCTGTTGAATTATGTATCATAACTCGTCAAGCTAGGGCAATTTATGATTTATCCTGCAGTACTTGCGCATATCAATCGCTCGGAGTCGTATAAGGACATTAAATAGTTTATTTTAATGGTAATGAAACTACGAAATATTGTCATACAGTTAAAATAAGTATTCTGGTAAGCAACAAAAACTTTACAAAAATATGCTCTATTACACTGCACATCAACACTTTAAGGAGATGTGTATGTCTTATTTATATTTTTGGTAGATCATATATTCCTACTCAAACGAAAATAACATGTAAC